TGCAATACGTTAAAGGAATTGTCAAAAATTATTATTTGTATGTCTCACTCCGAATTACATTTCGTGTAAGTTTGTTCCAATGTGCATAATTCACAATCGTAATTTTTACAAATACTGTAAGACAGGGGTGTCAAACTCGCGGCCCGAGATGAACATTTTTGTGGCCCAGAATATATCCGAAACAAAGTAAAAATAAAATGGAAATGCGAATTAGAAACGAAGCCATCATATAAAATTATAATATACTTTATTTATAAACTATACGGAACATTTTAAATTGTACGCGCGAAAATGTATAATTCTAATTGGCTGAAATGGAGTCCGTTTCACACTAAGCTATCAGTTAGATAGTACATATTCAGGTTTATTCCACTATAGCAAGGTACGTTGGTTATCTTACGCCAAGGCTCTCAAACAATTCTGGGATGCGAAAGAAAAAATATGTAAGTTTTTACGAACTATAAATCAAGATACAAGCTTGTTCTCCGATCAAATATGGTTGCAAGATTTATCTTTTATGGTTGATAAACCAAACACTTATCCGGTTTAAATTTATTGTTACAAGGCAAGGGTCAGATCACTACGAACATGCTTGACATAATTAAAAAAGCATTCAAATGTAAACTATTTCATTGGGAAAGGCAACTGAAAAATGAAGATTTAACGCACTTCCCAACGCGCAACAAGAACAAATCTAGTTCAGATGATACTGCATCCTATAAAAAATTGGCAGAAAAAAAAATTTAATCTTAGAACAGATTTTGAAACAAGATTTAAAGATTATAATTCTTTGGAAGACAAATTTTGTTTGTTTTCTTTGATTTTCTTAATAAATAAAGAATCAGTATCCAGTTATATGCAAATGGAAGTGATTGAAATTCAGTGAGACTCAAAGTTGAAGGCAAAATTCATTAAAGTGGGTGTGCTTGAATTTTGCGAATATTTACCGGCAAGGTTAGAAAATACGCGAAAACTCACATATGAAATTATTTCCATGTTTAGAAGTATTTATTAGTGAGAGCAATTATTTTCTGTTATGAATGGAAATAAATCTTCTGTCCGAAACCGTATTAATAACGCTCACATTGGGTCAATTTTGAAAGTAGTCTCGGCCAATAAAATTTCTCCTGAAATAGAAAAGATAGTAGCAGAGAAGAGATGTGAAGTATCAGAACGTAAACAATAATTTAACTTTATACATGTTTATTGCTATGTACTATACAAAATAAAAATATTTGTTTCGATGAACATTGATTTTTTTTGCGGCCCACCTAAAGTTAAGCATTGTTTATTTGGCCCAAGTTAGCTTTTGAGTTTGACACCCCTGCTGTAAGACATTTAGGATCAAATTACAGTTTTAAGAAAAACGATGCTTTGGGTGCCATTTTCCATTTTTAATCCATTTTTCTATTTTCTATCAAATCCATTTTTCTGTGAAATATATTTTTATCGTAAAACATTATACGTAATTTTTACATTAATATTTATTTAATTAGAGTGATTCGGTAATTTCATGGTAATTATATCTGGAATCGTTAAGGTATATCAGATTTTATTTGTCTTGTAACACACATTTTCTGGAGAAAAAAATATTTTGAAGTAGAATAAACCGGCACCCTGAGTGCCAGTTTCTTTTACTGCAATTTATTCAAACATTGTTACAGTAAACATGAGTGCATAAAACATTTAATTACGAAACCAATTGTTTTCATTAATATTTGTTAGTGTTTATGCATTATTTGAAAATTTAACTTTTAGGGGAATATGTACGTTTCACCAAGTAAAATGAATGTTCAATGTTAGAAACGCTAGATAAAAAAAGTATTTTACCCTAATTGATGATTTAAACATAAAATGGACAATTTATAAAGGAAACTTTCTTTACTTAAGAAAAAAGTAAATTTATTGCCACGTTTAGATTAGGATATCAATGCAAAATTGATTCTTCAAGCATATAATTCCAGGAAAATAATGTACAACCAATGTACCAAATTTATATTAGTAATCTTCCGTGAAAAAAAACCTGGTGATTCTCTTAAGAATTTAGAATACTTCCCACTAAAATCAGTTACTACAATTTACCCAAAATCTTTTTTCAGAAAATTAAAATCTTCTTAAAAACACACTGTCTCATATATATATATATATATATATAAAATAGCCATCAGGTTTTAAATACACTAAAAACTTTAAAAAATGT